CCAGAAACGTCTTTTGGTACCAGAAACGACCTCTGGGACGTGTCTTTAAACCAAACTTCCTCATGGCAGAGGGCACCCCCCTCCCCACAAACCCCGCCCATGACTCCTGCAGGCTCTCGGGTGAAACTGAAAGTGAAACTTAACTGTCTGCTGAGCTCTCAACATTAGTTCTCACTCAGTGAAGCTCTTTTCAGATTAAAAATCCTTTGAGGAAATGTATTTTCAGATGCCAAGTAAACTGCATTATAGCAGACCCCCTCCCACCCTGCACTGAAATGGGCGAGACAGAAGCAAAGGAGGTTCTTAAAGAGACAGAGGCCAATTTCAAGGCGTTTAGAAGAGGAAGTGATGAGAAGATAAGTTTATTTTCTCTTTAAACATAAAAACAGCATTTTAATAACAGCTGAAGGTGACATATATACTTTATTATGGTATAGTATTTAAATATATGCCTGAGAAACACATAATATTGCCCCTTTAAATCATGCAGAGTGGAACTTCAATGCTTTGATTTGAATTCCTCCTTACTGTAACTTCACAAGCCTCTGATCAACTCGTTTTGATGCTGTCTCTTTAAATCCAACACCCTGCCCCCCTCCAGCTTCCAAAGCAGTCCATTCTAGTTTAAAAAAGGGGATTACGTCACCCTCAACGTTTGTTCTGAATGGCTTCCAATTCAATATCTCAAATCAAGTTTTGTGTTTTCTAAGGTCACTTGCTCTGGCAGCCATCTTTAACTTCCAAAAAGTATTTCAAATGATGAAAGCCAAAAAATCTGTCCACTCTTTATTTTAAATTTTTGTTATATGTCTTCTTATGGCTCACAAAATCAATTGTGATGAAAAGAAAAGAGCAATCAGGGTTATAAATCCTGCAATATAAACTGCAATATTTTGCAAACCTGCACACTAAAAACAGCTGGGTTCAAAACAACACTTTGTGACCCGGTGCTGGATCCGTTAGTTCATTTGGAATAAAACCAAACAAAACCACAGCTTGTTAAACTGATATCATCTCTGTCACAGTGCAGTTTATTGGTTTTTTCCCCTCGTTCTTTGAGAAACATAAAGAAAGTCCGTCAACAAGAGTTTTTATTCCAACAACTAAATCAGGCTAAAAGAGTTATCTGCAAAAAAGTGTTTAACTTTTTAAACCCTGGGTGCTTCTGTGGTTTCTCTGTCTTTACGTTCAGCAGAGGACATAATTCACCAGTAACCTGTGTTAATGACTCATTAGGGATCGATGCTGCAGCAGCCCTGAAGTGGGGCTGGAGGATGAAGATGGGGGGCAGGAAGGCGAGGGCTGCAGCTCAACAAGCTGTTGATTAATAAGGAGCTGCAGGGCTGCCTCTCCTGAGCCTCGCACGCAGCTTTCACACATCCTGAAGCTCACACCTGTGAGTTCGCCGAGTCAAGGACACGCTCACCGTGCTGCGAGAACAACTCCATTTGTCAGCTCTGTTCTGGCTGGTGATGATCTCCGGAGACGTCGGAACAAATGAACGCATGAGATTCATGTGTGCACACTTCTAACACAAGAGAAGCAATGACTGAAAGCAACTTTTATTTRTCCCCGATAAAAAGCTTCGACTGGTTCTTCATCCAAATACAAAATAAATGTCAGGATGTTAGGCTTTTATTTTGTAAATACTTCAAAGGAACGAATACGGCTCACTAGTTCAGAGTTTGTGGGGTTTTTCTTTTTTCAAGATGGCCGCCACATCTTGCAAGATGCTCAAAGCATTTGTTTCATCGACATCCAATAAACTTTACCCCAAAATCTGTCACTTTGAGTAAAAGTCGTGAGAATTTGCAGTGTTCACTGTCAAAGTTATGCAAAGAAGTCATAGTGCTCGGATGACTCACCGCTTCTACCGCGCAAATTTTCAGCTCAATTTATGTTAAACTAAGTTCTAACCATTATTGTATTGGCTTGTTTTTGTATTTAATCAATTTGTCAAATGATTATTACCCATTAAAATAGGTTCAATTATTTATTAGATATTTAGCTAATGTACTTAGGCTACAAACTTTAAAAAAATCACCTCTTGCCTTTCAGACAAAATCTGCAGCAAGTGATTTAGCTGTGATGCTCGCAATAAATAATTGTTCAAACGACACAAAGAGCCATGGTTGGCTGAGTTTCTTGCCGGATTCTGACACTTTAAAACAATCAGAACAACAGCCTTCATTCACAATTGATGGTCCCCAGCCTCCTTTCAGCGTCTCTCTTTTTGATTCTAAAAGAGACGCAAGTTGCTGAAAAAGAACAGACGTGTTGGCATATTTGAATATTTTAAATAAACATGAAGAAAAATGCAAATAGTGTATTTATTTTGAGTGAACAAGAATGAAAATGTGTCTGTCTGAGCAGCTTTTCACAGCTGAAATAAATAATGAACATAAGTAGTTCTTACTCTAAATGTTTATAAATTGGGTTAGGTTTATAGTTTTATTGGAGCTTTTTGTTCTGGACCGAAGGATTTTGATGGAGAGAGCGATAAAGTCCCACTTCATCTGGACCGGACAGCTCACTTAAAGCACTTAGCATCCAGCAGTGAGGGAACTAAAAGAAAGCAGTCACGCTCAGAAAGTCTGAGATTAA